GATTTAAAGCTTGATTTAATAACTGGAAAATATTTTCTCAAAACTTAGCTATTGGTTAAAAAGTAAAGTGAAATAAACTTAAGTGTTCATTGAAATTTCAAGATTTGTCTCTAAAAATTTGAAACATTGATCAAAAAATTGTCAAATGAGCTTAAGTCTTCATTTAAAAGTAGAGATATTGACTGCCACAAATGACTTAATGACTCAAATATGCTCAAAAATAAAAGCTCAAAATACAATTTCAGGAAATGACTCAAAAACTGCCAGATTGATTCTAAACAAAACTCACAAATGGACTCAATAAATGATTAAATAGCTGACACAACTTAAAAACTTATGAAATTTATTGAGAAAATTGTTTGAAAACTGATTGAAAACTTGATATATTGATTCAAAAACTGTCAAATGAACCTAAGCGTTTAATTAATAGTAGGGAAATTGACTCAAAAGTTATCACATTGGTTCTTAATGTCTCAAAAATAAACTTTAAAATTGACAGAAAAAATATGCAATAACTCAAAATACAATTAAAGGAAATGAGTCAAAAAATGCCAGATTGTTTTCACAATTGGCCTAAATAACTCACAAAGGAACTCAAACAATGAGTCAGCAGCTAATGCAACTTAAAAACTATGACATTCATTGAGAAAATTGTCTCAAAACTTGATATATTGATTCAAAAATTGTCAAATAAAGCTAGACCTTCAGTTAAAAGTTGAGAAATTCACTCAAAAGCTGCCAGATTGTTTCCAAAATTATCTTGAACGACTCACAACGGACTCAAACAAAGAGTAAATAGCAAACACCAGTAAAAGGCTTTAAAATTCACTGAGAAAATTGTCTCAAAACTTGATATATTGATTTAAGAACTGTCAAAATACAATTAAAGGAAATAAATCAAAAAAATGCCAGATTGTTTCCAAAATTGGCTTATATAACTCACGAAGGTATTCAAACAATGAGTAAGCAGCTAACGCAACTCAAAAACTATGACATTCATTGAGAAAATTGTCTCAAAACTTAATATTTTTATTCAAAAACTGTCAAATTAAGCTAGGGTTTCAGTTAAAAGTTCAGAAATTGACTCAAAAGCTGTCACACTGGTTCCAAAATTGACTTAATGTCTCGAACATAGACTTTAAAATTGATAGAAAAATAACGCAATAATTCAAAATACAATTAAAGGAAATGAATCAAAAAATTCTCCAGATTGTTTCCAAAATTGGCCTAAATAACTCGCAAAGTTACTCGAATAATGAGTGAGCAGCTAACGCAACTCAAAAACTATAAAATTCATTGGGAAATTGTCTCAAAACTTAATATATTAATTCAAAAACTGTGAAATGAAGCTAGGCCTTCAGTTAAACGTTGAGGAATTGACTCAAAGCCAGCTGCACACTGTTTCTTAATGTCTCAAAGATCAACTTTAAAATTGACAGAAAAATGGCGCAATAACTGAAAATACAATTAAAGGAAATGATTCAAAAACTACCAGATTGTTTCTGAAATTGCCCCGAACAACTCACAAAAGAAGTAAATAGCTAACTCAAAAAACTATGACATTCATTGAGAATATTGTGTCAAAGTTTGATATATTGATTGAAAAACTGCCAAATGATCTTAATCCTTCAGTGAACAGTAGAGAGAAATTGACCCAAAAATGAGTAAGCAGCTAACGCAACTCAAAAACTATGAAATTAATCGTGAAAATTGTCTCAAAACTTAATACATTGATTCAAAAACTGTCAAATGAAGCTAGGCCTTCAGTTAAAAGTTGAGAAATTGACTCAAAAGCTGACACACTGTTTCTTAATGTCTCAAAGATCAACTTTAAAATTGACAGAAAAATGGAGCAATAACTGAAAATATAATTAAAGGAAATGACTCAAAAACTGCCATACTGTTTCCAAATTGACAAAATGTCTCCAACATGGACTCTAAAATTGGCATAAAATACGCAACAACTCAAAATACAATTAAAGGAAATGACTCATAACGGACTCAAACAATGAGTAAATTACAAACGCAAGTCAAAAGCTTTAAAATTAATTGAGAAAATAGTCTCAAAACTTGATATATTGATTCAAAAACTGTGCAATGTACCTAAGCCTTCAGTTAAAAGTAGATAAAGTGACCGAAAAGCTGCGACACTGTTTCCAAATTCACTAAATGTTTCGAACATAAAGCTTAAAATTGATAGAAAAGTGGCGGTATAACTCAAAATACAATTAAAGGAAACGAATCCAAAAATGCCAGATAATGCAACAATTCAGGTACTCAAACAATGAGTGCTAACGCAACTCAAAAACTATGAAATTCATTGAGAAAATTAACTCAAAACTTAATAAATTGATTCAAAAACTGTGAAATGAAGCTAGGCCTTCAGTTAAAAGTTGAGAACTTAACTCAAAACCTGCCACACTGTTTCCAAATTGACATAATATCTGAAACATAGACTCTAAAATTGACAAAAAACGCAACAACTCAGAATACAATTAAAGGAAATGACTCAAAAACTGCCAGATTGTTTCCAAAATTGTTTCGAATGACTACAACGGACTCAAACAATGAGTAAATAGCAAACACAAGTGAAAAGTTTTAAAATTCATTGAGAAAATTGTCTCAAAACTAGCTAGGCCTTCAGTTATAAGTTGAGAAATTGATCCAAAAGCTGCTATACTGTTTCCAAATAATATCTCGAACATAAACTTTAAAATTGATAGATAAATAACGCAATAACTCAAAATACAATTAAAGGAAATGAATCAAAAAATGCCAGATTGATTCAAAAATTGCCCTGAACCTTAGAAAATTGTCTCAAAACTTGATACATTGATTCAAAAACTTTCAAATGAACCTTAACCGTCAATTAAAAGTTGAGAAATAGATTCAAAAACTACCGAATGACCCTAAGAAGTAAAATTAAAGGAATTATCTCAAAAACTGTCATGTACCCTTTAAAAGCTGCTCATTGACCAATTTTCTAAACGATACACAGACTGCAAAATTAACTAAAAAGTTACGAAACAAATCAAAAACTAACAAATTAAAGAAAGAAAATGGAGAAATTGGAGTAAATATTATCCATGGGCTGAAATAATGACCAATTTATTGATTAATATGGTCAAATTGCTTTAATCGTTGATTTATGGACTGAAAATGTTTAAAATAATCTCTAAACGTTGAGAAATTGATTTAAAATGTGAATCGACTCAAACTGTCATTTAAATTCATTGAGAAATGAATGCAAAAACAATTATCTTGTTTTATAAATTTTGTTTTATTTACTTACTAATGAATTCAAAGGTTGACTAAAAATGGTACAACTCAAAAACTATAAAAATAACTGGAAAAATGGTTACTCTATAATTAACTCAGAAACCGTCAATTTGTTTTAGAAATTAACCGAATGAATTCAAAATTAAATTATGAAATTGTTTCTGAATTGAGTCAAAATGGACTCTGAAATTGTTTGAAAAATGACGCAATAACTCAAGTTATTATATAAAAGTAGTTACTCAAGTTACAATTAAAGAAAATGAATCAGAAAATGTACCATATTTTAGCTGTCGACTCAACAATTAGACTCATATTTGAGTAAAAAGTGAAGTAACAATTTGAATACCAATAAATTAACGATAGAAAACGGAGTTGACCTAAATATTATTCCATGAGCTCAAACAATAACTATCAAATTTTTGCAAAAGATGGCTATTTGATTAAAAAAAAATCTTTAAACTAATCTCAAAATTTGAGATTACTTTAAATCGACTCCAAATGTCATTTACCAAATCTACCAAATCTCAAATATTAATTTAGCTTAAACAGTGATTCAAACATTAATTCAAAAATCATTAAATGGATTTAAGACTTGAGTTAATATTTGAAGATTTGAAACAAAAATAGTTGAATTGTTGTCAAAATTGGTCAAAATTATCAAATGGGTTCGAAGAATAACTAAAATATTAACGAAAATCGTAAACTATATTCATTAACTTTAACTATTAAATTATTTCTCATTAAATACGTCTAGGAATGAGACACATTATCCAAAGAAATTTGTATTAACTAATCCCTAATTCGAGTCTGAAGTAACCTTCAATTAATTAGACCTTAATTGAGCTACTTCAGATTCAAAACCTGACGTTTACCCAATCTTTAGTATTATGCTTAAGATCTTCAATGAAACGATCCGCAACCCATGTAACTTCATCAAAAACTTAATTTTGATCTAATAATTTAATATTTATTCAAAAGCTTCATCGAAACTTAATCAAGTTCAAGAAACTTCCTGAGATTCTAACCGAAACATTAGTTTCAAGCAATATAAATATAATAAAGTGTGGCCAAATTTAAGATCTTTACTAAAGTTCTATTCACTAAGAACACTTCAATAAAGCAGTTTTGATCAAAATATTTAAAATTATGTCAACAAATTTAATCAAAACAGATTTTTGACAAAATTTGATTACACAGGTGGTATACCATATTAAAGAATTATTACTGAAATAATAATTCTTTCAAAATAAATAACTTAAGAACTTCACCGGAACATAACAAACTGTTCAAAATTATTAAATTAAGCAAACATTGACTAGTTTATTGAAAAACTAAGAGCAGGTGTTTCACTTGCTTCTTCTTGTAGGCAATCAACGCTGAAAGCTAAGAAATAAGAAGACAAAACAAATATCTAGTTGTAAATAAATACATATTTTATCAAATAGCTACGATATTTAAAAATTGAAAAAGATTGATTAGAAAAAATATTCTTTCAGATTTTATAATTTTTTAAATACTACTTTTGAAACATCCTGTATGAGAAAAAAAAAAGAAACAAATAAGCTTTTTTAACTAAAATAAAAATATATAGCACGAGTGTTATTTATAATTTACTACAATCTAAAACGATAAAAATCTATTCTATACAAATATCCATCCCAAAATAAAAATTAAACATAAAAAAATTTGCCGCTAAAAGAAACTATTTATAACTAAAAGAAATTATTTATACCCAGACACATAAAACACCGATTTGTGGTATTCATTTGTGTTAGTTTTTACGGAAAAAACCATGCACCAAAAAATAATTAGAATAACGTTCCAAAAAACCAACAACCACAATAGAAATAACCAAAATAAAACTTTACTTACTTATTAAACCAAAAAATTTTTTGATTATTTGATTTTTATTTTGATTATTTCTAAAATAAATATTTTTTGGTGGTAACACCCATGCAGGCTTACCAAGAGGGCACCAAGGTTCGTGCTGCTCAGGTTTGTCAGGGTCGGGTAAAGGTAAAACTAACATAACTTCGACACCGAACACACCCAACAAAAAATGAGGTGATTGAGTAGGGAAGGAAAAGAAACGAAGAATAAAATGATTTTTGATAATTTTTTTTTATATAAAAAGAAAATAATTGGGAAACCGGAAGAAACAAAACCCAAAAATAAATGAAATGATGCAGGAATAAAAGGAAACAAGAAAGATCGTCCATATTAGTAAAGATTTTTTTTTTGTTAAGGAACGTTGTTGTTATGAGCTTAAAATGTTTAGCGTCTTATTTTTTACTATCTACCTTGTTGGTTTCATTTAGATATTTTTAATATCCTCAGGAGACACAGTTAATAAATATTTTTTATAAAAAAAATAACACAGACGAGGGAGGAGTTAAATAAAATATATATAAATCGTTGCTGATTAGATTAAGGATAATAAGTTTAAGATGATTTTTAATTACATGTCTTATTTTAATAATTATGTAAATTAATATGTATTAATTATGATTATTAAGAAGAATTTGTTATTATTTGTATGTAAAACTTTTTGTCCCCATTGTTTTTAAATTTAAATTAATAAAATGTTAACTTCCTGTAATTATGTGTATATTATGTATATTATTGTTATAGAAATTGTGTATAACAATTAAAAATATTTCATTTATATTAAATATTAAGATTTTAAATATTTTAAATTATTATACACAAAATGTATTTAAAAAAAATTTTTTGTAATAAAAAAATTAACATACCTCGGCATGGATCATTCTTCAATAAAAATTCGTCCAGCGCGACCCATCCACCTCCAACTCTTACCATTACCGTACTTCTTAAGATACGAACAAGTCTTAACTTTTGACTGTCCCCAAACTAAAATTACAACAAAAATGTTAAAGATAAAAATGGAGGATTACTTTTTAAACAAAAAACGTTTATAATTAACTCATAAGACGTATAGAATACAAATATTTACCCCATCAATCAGAATTACCAACCCAACATAAACAAATTAAAATTTTGAAGTTATTATCAATTTTCTCCTATAACTCGTTAATTATAATTGATGGAAAAAAACGCTTCAAACAAAAAAGGTTTATAATTAACCCATAAAACATATCCAATAAGTTATTTTAATCCACCAATCAGTAGTACCAACCTAAGTCAAAAATAAATCAAAATTTTGAGATTTTTGACAATTTTCGGTTATAACTTGTTAATTATGAATGATGGAGGATTACTTTTTAAACAAAAACGTTTGTAATTAACTCATAAAACGTATTGAATAGAGATATTTACTCCATCAATCAGTATTACAAACCCAACTTAAGAAAAATAGAAATTTTGACGTTTTCAACAATTTTCTTTTATAACTTAATAATTATAACTGATGGAAAAAAATGTTTCGTACAACAAATNATACGAACAAGTCTTAACTTTTGACTGTCCCCAAACTAAAATAACAACAAAAATGTTAAAGATAAAAATGGAGGATTACTTTTTAAACAAAAAACTTTTTAAAAATATATTTACCCCATCAATCAGAATTACCAACCCAACCAAAAAAAATTTAAATTTTGAACGTTTTCATCAATTTTCTCCTATAAATCGTTAATTATAATTGATGGAAAAAAACGTTTCATACAAAAAAGGTTTATAATTAACCGATAAAACATATTCAATTAGTTATTTTAATCCATCAGTCAGTAGTACCAACCCACCCAAAAATACATCTAAATTTTGAGGTTTTTGACAATTTTTGGTTATAACTTGTTAATTATGAATGATGGGGGATTACTTTTTTAACAAAAAACGTTTATAATTAACTCATAAGATGTATAGAATATAGGTATTTAAACCATCAATCAGAATTACCAACCCAACTTAAAAAAAATTGCAATTTTAACATTCTTATCAATTTTCTCCTATACCTCGTTAATTATAATTGATGAAAAAAAAACATTTCATACAAAAAAGGTTTATAATTAACCCATAAAACATACCCAATAAGTTATTTTAATCTATCGGTCAGTAGTACCAACCCAACCCAAAAATAAATCAAAATTTTGACGTTTTTGACAATTTTCGGTTATAACTTGTTAATTATGAATGACGGAGGATTATTTTTTAAAGAAAAAACGTTTTGAATTAACGCATAAGACGTATTGAATAGAGATATTTACTCCATCAATCAATATTACCAACTCAACTTAAGAAAAATAGATATTTTGACGTTTTCAACAATTTTCTTTTATAACTTAATAATTATAACTGATGGAAAAAAATGTTTCGTACAACAAATGTTTAGAATTAACCCATAACATATCCAATAAGTTATTTTAATCCACCAATCAGTAGTACCAACCTAAGTAAGAAAAATAGAAATTTTGACGTTTTCAACAATTTTCTTTTATAACTTAATAATTATAACTGATGGAAAAAAATGTTTCGTACAACAAATGTTTTGAATTAACCCATAAAACATATCTAATAAGTTATTTTAATCCACCAATCAGTAGCACCAACCTAAGTCAAAAATAAAACTAAATTTTTGGGTTTTTGACAATTTTCGGTTATAACTTATTAATTTTGAAAGATGGAGGATTACTTTTTAAACAAAATACGTTTATAATTAACTCATAAGACGTATAGAATACAGATATTTACCCCCAAAAATTGTAATTTTGACGTTATTATCAATTTTCTCCTATACCTCGTTAATTATAATTGATGGAAAAAAACGTTTCATACAAAAAAGGTTTATAATTAACCGACAGAACATATCCAATAAATTATTTTAATCCATCGGTCAGTAGTACCAACCCAACCCAAAAATACATCTAAATTTTGAGGTTTTTGACAATTTTTGGTTATAACTTGTTAATTATGAATGATGGGGGATTACTTTTTAAACAAAAAACGTTTGGAATTAACTCATAAGACGTATTGAATAGAGATATTAACTTCATCAATCAGTATTACCAACCCAACTTAAGAAAAATAGAAATTTTGACGTTTTCAACAATTTTCTTTTATAACTTAATAATTATAACTGATGGAAAAAAATGTTTCGTACAACAAATGTTTAGAATTAACCCATAAAACATATCCAATGAATTATTTTAATCCACCAATCAGTAGTACCAACCTAAGTTAAAAATAAAACTAAATGTTGGGGATTTTGACAATTTTCAGTTATAACTTATTAATTTTGAAAGATGGAGGATTACTTTTTAAACAAAAAACGTTCATAATTAACTCATAAGACGTATAGAATACAGATATTTACTCCATCAATCAGAATTACCAACCCAATGAGAACAAATTTAAATTTTAAACGTTTTCATCAATTTTCTCCTATAACTCGTTAATTATAATTAACGGAAACAAACGTTTCATAAGAAAAAGGTTTATAATTAACCAATAAAACATATCCAATATGTTATTTTAATCTATCGGTCAGTAGTACCAACCCAACCCAAAAATAAATCAAAATTTTGAGGTTTTTGACAATTTTCGGTCATAACTTGTTAATTATGAATGATGGAGGATTACTTTTTAAACAAAAACGTTTGGAATTAACTCATAAAACGTATTGAATAGAGATATTTACTCCATCAATCAGTATTACAAACCCAACTTAAGAAAAATAGAAATTTTGACGTTTTCAACAATTTTCTTTTATAACTTAATAATTATAACAGATGGAAAAAAATGTTTCGTACAACAAATGTTTAGAATTAACCCATAAAACATATCCAATAAGTTATTTTAATCCACCAATCAGTAGTACCAACCTAAGTCAAAAAAAAACTAAATTTTGGGATTTTTGACAAGTTTCGGTTATAACTTGTTAATTATGAATGATGAAGGATTACTTTTTAAATAAAAAACGTTTATAATTAACTCATAAGATGTATAGAATATAGGTATTTACCCCATCAATCAGAATTACCAACCCAACTTAAAAAAATTGAAATTTTGACGTTTTTATCAATTTTCTCCTATACCTCGTTAATTATAATTGATGGAAAAAAACGTTTCATACAAAAAAGGTTTATAATTCACCGATAAAACATATCCAATAAGTTATTTTAATCCACGGTCAGTAGTACCAACCCAACCCAAAAATACATCTAAATTTTGAGGTTTTTGACAATTTTTGGTTATAACTTGTTAATTATGAATGATGGGGGATTACTTTTTAAACAAAAAACGTTTGGAATTAACTCATAAGACGTATTGAATAGAGATATTAACTTCATCAATCAGTATTACCAACCCAACTTAAGAAAAATAGAAATTTTGACGTTTTCAACAATTTTCTTTTATAACTTAATAATTATAACTGATGGAAAAAAAAGGTTTCGTACAACAAATGTTTTGAATTAACCCATAAAACATATCTAATAAGTTATTTTAATCCACCAATCAGTAGCACCAACCTAAGTCAAAAATACAACTAAATTTTTGGGTTTTTGACAATTTTCGGTTATAACTTATTAATTTTGAAAGATGGAGGATTACTTTTTAAACAAAAAACGTTTATAATTAACTCATAAGATGTATAGAATATAGGTATTTACCCCATCAATCAGAATTACCAACCCAACTTAAAAAAATTGAAATTTTGACGTTTTTATCAATTTTCTCCTATACCTCGTTAATTATAATTGATGGAAAAAAAGGTTTCATACAAAAAAGCTTTATAATTAACCAATAAAACATATCCGATAAGTTATTTTAATCCACCAATCAGTAGTACCAACCTAAGTCAAAAATAAAACTAAATTTTGGGGTTTTTGATAATTTTCGGTTATAACTTATTAATTTTGAAAGATGGAGCATTACTTTTTAAACAAAATACGTTTATAATTAACTCATAAGACGTATAGAATATAGATATTTACCCCATCAATCAGAATTACCAAACCAACTTAAGAAAAATAGAAATTTTGACGTTTTCAACAATTTTCTTTTATAACTTAATAATTTAACTGATGGAAAAAAATGTTTCGTACAACAAATGTTTAGAATTAACCCATAAAACATATCTAATAAGTTATTTTAATCCACCAATCAGTAGTACCAACCTAACTCAAAAATAGAACTAAATTTTGGGGGTTTTGGCAATTTTCGGTTATAACTTATTAATTTTGAAAGATGGAGGATTACTTTTTAAACAAAAAACGTTTATAATTAACTCATAAGACGTTTTGAATACAGATATTTACTCCATCAATCAGTATTACCAACCCAACTTATAACTTTTAAGTTTTTAAATTTACCCTGTATTTTCCTTCACCAACTTGGAACACCCTAAACTTCTGCCTACAGGTGCACAACATCACCAAACGTTTCACTTCATCGTGTATCTTTTGCGCATCGTTATCCGGACGCTTTTCCTCCCAATCTGGACGAAGAGCCGCTATAAATTCTTTCCAATCGATTAAACCGCGATTGTTACGATCGAACATATCGGCCACTTCTTTCATTTCAAATCGGTTTGTATCAAATTCTACAACAAATTATTAATTAATAATTTAAAAAAAAAATTGCATGAATTTTTATTTCTTACTGGTATTTATAATTCCATCTATAAAGTCACCACGAGGAATTAACCCGTTGTTATCTTTGTCCATTTTTCTAAACAAATCTGTTAATCTTGATTTTTTGTGGTTCATAAACTTCAAGAACTGTTAATAGAAAAAGTTGTTGTAGAAAAAATTTAATTCTAAAAATATTTATTTCTTACTCTCTTTCGCCAATCATCCCAAGAGAAGTTCTCAGCCCTTTCTTTTTCTTTTAAATAAGCCAAATGGGCGTATAATTCCCGTTGTCTTTCCCATGATAACATCCAAACATGACGCCATTTATCGTATAGGAGTTTAACAGTTGATGATTTAAATTCTGGTTCGGCACTAAAGAAATATAATTGATTGTATTAATAAAGGATTTTTTTGATAATGTTAATTCGAGGTTGATTTGTAAGATTTCAATGTAGTTTTTGTATTTAAAATAAAATAAATTGATCGAAAATGATTAATAATATACAGCGTCTACTATAAAATCAGCAACACCATCTGCAACCATTGACATCAAGATGGTTACCATTTCCGGTTCATCGCAATGAACCGCAATCGTTATTTTAAATGGAAAGGTATGGTTTTTATCACATATTCAAGTTCTTTATACAAAAACTACGAAAAAAATGAAAAAGATTTTCGTATCACCAACTTAGAGCCGAATATATGCCTCAGCAAAATGAGCGCGCTAACCGCACGTTAACTGAGATGCCTCGATGTGTTGTGCTGCAAGCAAATCTCTTGCAATCATTATGGGCCAAAGCAATAAATACACTTGGACACACCAAAAGCCCTAGTTGGGTTTTTGCAAAATATTGGTAGCAAAGTAATCGCTCTCAACAAAGGTCAACATAAAGGAGACCAAAAAATGACAATTACATCCTGATAGGCTATTTTGAAGAATCAAAAGCTTATCGATTGTGAAAACCAGGAATCAAAATTGTTATTAAAGCAACTCTTCATACGACGTTCCATTCATTTCCGATGCAGACGTATCAAGCGAAACAAATCAAGACTCAGCCAAAGAAGAAGATGGAAGTGAACTAGAAGATAAGAACGAGGATTACTCATTCAAAGAAGAATCCGAAATAGACGAAGAAGAACTGGATACTCCACAAAGAGGATCATACCAACAGGTAAACGAAAATGAAATGAAAGCTTAGATCCCCAATCAGCATCACAAGTTCTAGGAAGAAATGATGAAGAATTATGACTAGCCGTTCCTATATGATCGTTCCTAGACCTACAAACGCAAAAGTCTTAACAAACAGATAGATACTAAAAACAAAAACTAACCAAAAAGGAGAAATCGAGAAGTACAAGGCAAGACTGTAGATGAAGAAGTTTGGTCGGTTGAGTTCAAGGTTTCCGTTGTTAAGTAATCATTTAGTTCATTTATTATCCACATTTGCGCTTTATTAGCGTTGCTTTCTGAACTAAATGCTGATTTTTTATATCGTGGATGAAGAAAAGTAGTACTGTTCTATCTCATAAATCTCAAGTCGCGTCTTTATTATAACAGCAAAAGTTCTTTGTAAGTGCTTGCCCGTCTGTGTCATTGAAGTTTTGCTATGGTATGTCGTAGACCGAATACAAGAGCTATAACAGATAACAAACGTATGTAAGAACGCCACTACGTCTTCAGCAAATAACCACTCTTCAGAATCCAGATTCGGTGGACGTGATACCAGTGTCGGTAAAGTGGCAGAAAACGAAACCTTGAACTTTAATAGGCGTTCGAACTTATGAAAAGTAGATACTGTTCCAGCGAGTGCGAAAATCTTGCTTTAATTTGATTACATCCTTCTGCATGACGACCAAAGCATATGAAGATTTTGTGCTATGTTTAAAATGTGAAAAAATCACTCGGCATTTATTTATTACTTGCAATAACTGATTATTATTAGCGGTGATATCTCCTAAATTAATTCCATCTTTTTCTATACAGTCTTTCACAGCAAGATTAAGAGTGTGGACTACACAGAAATGGTTTTGCTTGTTTTAAATTTTGCTTTAACTGCTTTTTTCATTGAAGCTGCATTGTCTGTAACTATAGTCACTGTTTTAAAACTTATCTGCCACTCGTCCAATATTTGTTGAATAACATTTGCTATATTTTCAGCTGTATGATTATCTTGTATTTCCGAAGTAGAATATTAATTGCAATTTTGTTTCTTCTATAAAATGGTCTGACGTCCAAATATCTGATGTCAAAGCAATATGATCAACGTCCTGCAATTTTTTCTTACGAGTTGTAGACTCAATGTTATACTTTTCTTCCAACATCTGAGTAAATATTTTCCTCTATGGCAGTTCATAATCGGTATTTCATATTTTGGTGTATTTGCGCAAACCTTTATTTTCAACAATCCTGAACTATCATTTGAACCAACGCATCATCTCCAGATTTCTGCAACATTTTTGGCAGAAAATGGTACGTTTTATTTGAGGTTCAACATGAAGAGATGAAGAAGAAGCCGGTGGTAGCGACAAAGGCGGTTCGATTAAAATGTTATTTTCAGTTTGATTTAACAACGATGTCGAACCGCAGGCACCGTACACCACTGGTAGTCGCGAAAAGTTTAAACCTAACTCTAGTTAGTTACAGTCTAACTCGAATTGACTTGAAATAACCTCAACTCGAGTTAACTCGGTTTGATAAATTTCTAATTGTGATAATCAAAGTGTAATTAGTGCAAAAATACAGTTTTTCATAAACGAAGTGAACAGATAGACATCAGGTTTCACTTTGTTCGTGAATTACATAGGTAACTATAAGAACATTGTTGTAAATTATTTACAAACTGGCCATATTCCTGGGGATATTTTCTCGACATTTTTGACTAGATGCAAACATGAACATTGTGTTGTAAAAATTACAATATTATTGATTATTTTGTACATATTATTTTGACGTGAGCATCGTAATTAGTCTACAATTTAATCTGTTAAAGCCGAGGCACAATATTACAATATGATGACCAGATTCAGATTGAGACAATCTTAATTAATGAACCTCGGCTTACTTACTCACAAGATTTGCAACATAACCAACTTAACTTGATAAAGTGGATTCCGTTTGCAGCTTTAAGGTTGATATAATATTAATCACTGAATCTCTGCTGCAAGCGACGTCGACTTAATTAATCAAACGATCCATAACGGGTGGAAGGTGATAAATATGACGAAAATTGTGAAATAGGTGATATAGAAGATGATGTGATTATGTTTTGCACGATTTATGTGTAGTGATATATTAATAGTCCAAAAAACGGAGGATTCAAATTATTGAAGTGACTCTAAAGACAAAAAGTTGCCCCATTCATAATCCAATATGATTTGGAAACCAATCCAAACCAAAATCTATGTGAGCAACTTTCTGTAATAGCAACGAAGCAAATTTTTACCTCACTGAGGCTGTGAATAATCAAAATATTCACTACTGAGATAAACACAACCTCAAAATTTTTCACGAAAGACCGCTAAAATTCCACTAAACCAACACTGTGGACTGCCGTATCACAATTTGACGTTATATGCTATCAAAGTTAACGTATTTTTGTATATAAAATTTGAATATGTAGTAAAAGCCGTAGCATTCCATTTAAAATAACGATTTTGTGGTGTATTTCCGGCGAACCGAAATCTTTTAAATATCCCATATAAACAAAATTGCAAAAACGTAGATGCAATGAATCCAAAAAAAAGAAGGTGTTGAGTTTTTGACAGACACTGTATTTTAAATTAAGCATTTATCGACCTCACTGTGTTAAAAAGAAATGAGTGAAATTATTAATAATTATTAGTAAAATACAACAAACGCATGCATTTCGAAACATTTATGTTAGAAATAGTTATCGCACGGTGATTAAGAGCAACTTACCTCCATTTAAATATTTTGTTAAAAGCTTCAGCAAAGTGCAGATAGTTTTAAGAGGTTGTAAAAAAGATCGAGAAGGAATCGAAAAGATTGCAAATTTACAAAATTTAGTATTTGTAAGTTTACAACACTTTCACTTTTTTTTGCATAAAAAATAAAAAGTTTTAAATCTAACCTTCCTGTTGGTGGGAATCTTGGTCCAATATGAGGTACTTGAGGATCTGGACTGATTTCTCTACCCGGACTCGTACGGCTGTTAAAATAAAATTAACACATGCAACACATTCTCAAATCAAAAAAAACTAAAATTTGTCGAAATGAATACAAATAAAAGCTAAACATAACAAAAACAAGAAGTGATCAATGTAACAAATTATTTACTAGTGTTAGAAAAAAGTTTTTAGTAAATAAAAAACACTTAAGCTAATGTGAGTGTGGTTAGCAGAAAAAAATAATAAATTAAAAGAAAAATACTCTTTTCTAACCTTCCTTTAGCTCCAGTGTACAAATTTTGTGATCCTTTGAAGCTAGAATGAAGCACAAAAAACATTTACCATGCAACACCAATATTAAAAAATTAACACGTTGTCTGAATCCGATTATGATATAACTCGTAATCACAACAAACAACGCATTAAAAATGTCAATGAACACAAATTAAATACACAAATTTTACTAACAACAAGAAACACTTTACATGCCAAGAAATCATTCATGCAAACTTAATTTAAACAAAATAATTGTGATGGTGCTCGTTTTGAGAAACACATACCTTTGCTTTCTGCCCAGTGAATTGTAGCTATCTGGTGAAGTTTCACGAATATCATGCTGAGATCCACGGCTGATCAAGTGCGATGAAGAAGTGGAGGAAAGCAAACAAAAGGATACATTTTTTTAATTAAAAAATTACGTGCAGTGTACAAGTTACGACAAGAAGGAAGTGTATGCATGAAAATTTTGCATAAAAATGTTTTGTGCTTGACAAATACATAAAAAAAATTAATAAAATTTGATATGTGTAAAGCATAAAAAGAAGCAAATTTGTAAAAAAACAAGAAAAAATGGGGGTGATTTAATTCGATTTTTTATAGAATAAATTTAACCTTTGAATACACGCACAAACTATCAGTCCGCGCATTTTAAATATCTAATTCCAAATTTGTGGGTTAGCTTAATATTTAAATAATAAAAAACATTCGATGTTGTTGATAGGCAATAGTATAACAATTCTAATCAATATTAATATTTGTGAAATGTGTTTATAACAAATTTTATTGAACATTCTAAAAAAATTCTAATTCTAGGTCTAGTGATAGTTCTAGTGCCAATGTTAGTTCTAGTTTTTATTAGATTGCTGTATATTTTCATTTCTTGATGGATTCAAAAAATGTTTAATTTGAAGGTTTTGGGTTACAACTTGAAAAATAAAAATGTTGGGGGAAAATGTTGTGGATGAAAATAGTTTGTTATGGAGTGACAAAAAATAATTTATAAGCGATTATACTCCGTTTATGTTTATTACCAACCCAACGGATTTAAGATCGCAAACATTTCTAAATCAAAGCATTCAACAACAAAATGGGTTATAACTAATAAATAAAAGATGTTGGGTGATGATGATACTAATAAAAAATGTTCGTAATAAAGTATTAAAACATAATCCATAAACAATTTGTTTTCAATTATTATGAATTTTTAGTCAGAGGTGATGGATTCAAAAAATGTTTAATTTGAAGATTTTGGGTTACAACTTGAAAAATAAAAATGTTGGGGAAAATTTTGCCGATGAAAATAGTTTGTTATGGAGTGACAAAAAATAATTTATAAGCGATTATATTCCGTTTATGCTTATTACCAACCCAAGGGATTTAAAATCGCAAACATTTTAACATCAAAGCATTCAACAACAAAATGAGATAACTAAAAAATTAAAGATGTTGGGTGATGATGATATTAATAAAAAATGTTCGTAATGAAGTATTAAAACATAATCCATAAATAATTTGTTTCCAATTGTTAAGAATTTTTAGTGAGGTGATGGATTGAAAAAATGTTTAATTTGAAGGTTTTGAGTTACAACTTGAAAAATAAAAATGTTGGGGGAAAATGTTGCTGATGAAAATAGTTTGTTATGGGGGGACAAAAAATAATTTATAAGCGATTATATTCCGTTTATGCTTATTACCAACCCAACGGATTTAAAATCGTAAACATTTCAAAATCAAAGCATTCAACAACAAAGTGGGTTATAACTAATAAATTAAAGATGTTGGGTGATGATGGTATTAATAAAAAATGTTTGTAATGAAGTATTAAAACATAATCCATAAACAATTTGTTTCCAATTATTATAAATTTTTAGTTAGAAGTGATAAAATCAAAAATTGTTGAAATTGACGTTTTTGGGCCACAATTTTGGTTTTAGAACTAACCCGAATGTTTCTAGTTTTAATTGTTATTCAGCGCTAGATTGTTGTATATTTTTATTATGCCGCGAATGACTAAATAAGCGCGTGTACTGCAAGGTTAAATTAGAAGTTAAACTTTAAAGTGTTCTTTATGTGCTAAATATTCATTTAATACAATTTTTGTGCATACTCTTTCAGAGGAAAATAATCTAAATCTATAATAACTTTATCTACTCTTAATTTAATTTACTCTTTCCTCAACTAATTTCAATAAAATAATTAAAATAAGTATACTCACAGAGGTACTTTATTTTTTCCATATTTCCTTGGATCCTTTGGCTGTTGAGCAGGTTTAACTTGTTTCGCTTTCAAAATTCTATCAACCTCACCTTGCCTAACTTGCGTATTCTCCATAAATTCTTTATGATCGGCGATTAATTGTTCAGTGGCTGGTATACTCATCGGTAATTCCTCTCGTTTCAATGCTAATAAAGTATTTTCTAATCCTTGCAACCAATCCAACAACTCTTTCAAGCTATCATCTAAGTCTTTCAAACTTTGCATATGCGAATTTAATTTTTGTAGTCTTTGCAAAGCCCATTGTGAAACTTCGTCCCATCTTGATTGAATAACCGTTATCCAATTTTTAATTACATTAACAGCGTCGGGATGCGATTTAGATAAAACACCATGCGCAAGTTCTAAGGTTGCGTCTTTTTCGTATTCTTTTTCTCGTAAATCTTTGCGGAATTTCTCCAAAACTTGAAGTTGAGAATAAGCGGTGGCTTCGTCTTCTGGTGTACTTCCGGCGAATCTTAAAGTTCTTTCAGCTTCGCTCAACCATTCTAACAACATATGAACTGATTTGTGTAATTTCTCGGCTTCTCGTAAAGCTTCTTCAAGGCGTGATGATTTTCTGTTTGTTAACATCGAAACGCTATCCCATAATCCGTTTAATTCGGTTAATTGACTTCTGATTGTGGAAGCATCGGTTTTACTCGCTTTTATTTCTAATTCGTGCCCGGTTTGCATCACGGATCTCATTTGTTCATTACGACCTTCAAGATCTTTCTCAAATCGGTGATGTTGATCTAAAAGATGATGAACAGTGTCTAAATCACCATGAACTGGTTGATCTTCAGATAAATCTTTTTCGACTTTTCTTAACCAAGCTAATAAAGCTGCGATGGCGTCTTTGAATTGGCCGGAATAAAGGAGGGCTTCCTCCAATTTTCTTTGCCTATCAACACTCTTCGAACAAACGGATGTCCATTTATTTTTAAGATCAATCAACATTTGTTTTAATGTGTTTTCGTCGGATTTTGGTGCTTTATCTTTAATGAGTTTTCCGGTTTTCATGGTGTTGTCGTAAGTTCCTTGTTTTGATGATAAAGCTCTTTGGAATTCTTGGTGTTTAGCTAATCGTTCTTTGATGCGTTCGGGATCATTTCCAACGGAATCTGAAAGTAACTCGTCGAGATTTTCTTCGGTCTCTTCTAACCACGACATCAATCCGGACCACATATCGTGGAATTCTTTCGATTCTTTGTATCCCAAATCTAAAGCGCGAGTTCTTTCCGCTGATTTTGAAGCTACTCTTTCCCAGCGATGTTGGACGCTGATTAATAAATTTTTAATTAAAATTACATCTTGTTTTTGACTGAAATATTTCAAATGCGTTCCTTTTTTATCCAAGTTTAACATCACCTCACGATGAGCGCTAACATCTTTTTGGAACACTTTGTGTTCTTCGATTTGGTATTGAACTGTGTCTAAAACCCTCGAAACTGGTTTGAGGTTTGTTAAAATCTTTTCAGCGTTTGTTAACCAATCGACGAAGGCTTGTAAGGCTTCGTGGAACTCGGTCGCTTCTTTCAAAGCAATTTCTAGTTTTATTTTTTTATCGTTAGCTCTTGCTGTTACCGAATCCCAACGTTGTTTTAATGTTCTTAGGTTGTGTTGAAGATTTGAAGCTGCGTTTGATCCGCGTTTTAAATATTCTTGGCCTTGGGCTAAAACTGTTTCAACTTTCGGGCGATTTTCTTCCAATTCGTTGTAAACTTCCATGAATCTTTCGAGTTGTTCGGTTGCTGTTTCTGGTAATCCACCAACTGGTTTGCTTGCAGCGATGATGGCATCGACATCTCCCAACCAGCTTAAAAGATCTTGAATTTCCGCATTAAATCTTTGCGCATCGGTTAATGCATCCTCTAATTCTCTTTGCCTATCGGCTGCTTTTTGCATTAAAGATCTCCATTGAGTATTTAAAGTGTTTAATTTTTCTTGAGTTACCGAAGCTTCGTCAGTACCCCTTCCACTTTCAATGATTTGTCTTCCAGCATCGTTTAAAGTATCAACACTGGTTTGATGGGCTTGAATATCGTTTATTAAAACTTTAAGTTTCGCTAATTCAACTTCGAGTATTTGAGGATCACCAGCAACCGGTTTTAATTCATCCAAAGTTGCGTCCGTCTTTTTGATCCAAACGAGAAGTTCGTTTAGAGCGTGTTGGAATTGGCCTAAACGGAGAAGAGCGTTTTCTAATTGACGTTGTCTCTCGACGATTCCTCGAAGAAGATCGTCCCATCTTCTGTTTACAGCTAAAAGTGGTTCTTTTATAGAGGCTGCTTGGTCGGCTGATGTACGCTCGGTGAGTTCTTGAGCTTGCCTAAATTTATAAATAAAAAAAATTAAAAATAGAAGGGGATTTTTTAATAACGTAGCTAAAAGCAATTTACCCTTGAAATAAAATAAATCATTATTGTGGGAGGGTTTTAATGGTTGTTTAAATAATTTAAGACGTGAAAGAATTGTAAAGAGATAAGGTTACATGCAGAGCAGGCCTACATAATAAGGCTTAAAAGCTGAAATTGTCAAAGTTCTAAGATGAGGAACACTTTTTTTTTGTTTGGAGTTTAATAATAACACACATATCATGCGGTAGGTATTAAAACACAAAAGGCAATAAATAAAGGATATAAACAGCTTTGAAACACCCTAAAAGTATAGCTTGCCTGATCAAACTCCTTTTGGTTTCCGTAGTCAGAGAAAAGAAGCGGCAAAAAAGAAATAAAAAAAGTTAATTACTTCGTCTGGTTTCCCATCTTTCCAAAAATCCCCCACAAAATATTTTTTAAAAGAAATTTACAACACAACTATATAACAAAATGAATGTTTTTTTAAATGTTAAACAATAATTCCATATTTAAGTTAACTTTTATTGTAAAATTCATATAGTTGTGTGTATAACATTGTTTAGGTGTTTAATTAAGGTGAGCCATCAGGCGTTATTTTAATTTTGGAGGTAAATCAATGCCATTGTAATGATTTTTTAACAGTTTCTCTCAACGGTTGATTTATCATTTATAGCCTAATACAATTTAAAACGAGTATAATTACCTACTTATTAATGTGTTTTTCCTAAATAAATCTGAAAATAAACGTTTTAAATGAGCAGTAAAAAAGTGAGGTTATGTCATCTGTCAAACCTTCATTTGCTGATTAATTTGAAATAATAAAATTCACTAGAAAAATATTTTACAAACAGTTTGAATGGTTAATAACGTACTTTCCGGTTTAATTAAACTTTCTTTTTCGTGATATACAAAAATTTTCCGAAAAATATAATAATTTCATGTAATGGTATTCATAACCGCTAGATGGGGTGAATAATTGTTTAAAAATAAAGTCCCTAGATTATCAAAGTACCGCGGTTTGCCGCCATTTTGGCTCGAAAGTCAAGCGGGAAATTTAAAGCCATGTTCTGTTCATAAAATTATGCCAAATTTCCTTTTTTTCTCTCGTGGTACTTCGAAGAGTCGAAAGCCCTTCTTACTGCTATTTTTGCAACTCCAAAGGCAACAAGACGGCATTATTTTTGTAAATAAGTGGTAACATGCACTGACAAGCTGTCAAACCGCCATTTTGGCTGGAATACTGTTGAATATTTGTTGTGGTGTCGTTGGGCCGTTTATTAAATTAAACGATAAAAACTGGAATGTATGGAAATATCAAATAAAAGTTGTTTTAATGACGAAATGGTTATTTAATACCGCAAGTGGAACCGAAAAGAAGCCGGAAGACGATAAAAAGTTGGCTGCATGGCAACTGAATGATGCAAAAGCATAAGAGGTTTTGATAACTCGTATGGAAGAAACTCCACTTTCGTACATTATTCAATGTTCAACTGCATACAAGATGTGGAAAAAACTGGAAAAAAATCTACGACAGAAAATCAATAATTGGTTTGCATTTGTTAACTGAGCAGTTTTATAATTTGAAGAAAGAAATATAAATGATTTTGTAACAAAAGTTACTAACCTTTGTGCGAAAATGAAACAGCAAAGAGAAGAAGTTCCAGAAAAAATGGTAATGACGAAGTTAATAATGGCGTTGCCGGAAAAATTCAAATATTTTATATCAGCATGGGAAAGTGTACCAAGTGATGAGCAGAATTTAAATAATTTAATATCGAGACTACTAACAGAAGAACAAAGAGTAGGAAAAGAAGATAATTCTGTAGCTTTAGTAGCGAAGAAAGAAATGTTTTACCTGTGGTAAAGAAGAGCACCTAAAGGCTCAATGTAGGAGGGCAATTGAATGTTTCTATTGTAAGAAAAAAGGGCACAGAATGAAGGAGTGTTACCAAAGAAGAAAAAGAGAAAGTGAAAACTATGAAAGAAAACAAAACCAAGGTGAGAAACAAGATGGTTTAGCGCTGATTGCATTGTGAAGCATTAATAAACACTGATTGGTACTTAGACAGTGGTGCGTCACACCATATGTGTAATAAGTTGGATTTGTGTGATCGATATGTATCATTACAAAGTCACAAAACAATAAAAATTGGTGATGGGACAACAATGAAGAGTACTGAAATGGGAACTATAATGGAAAAAGGTTTCAACCAGTTACACTTCAAGATGTGTTATATGTTCCTGATGTGAAGATTAACTTATTCTTACAAGGAAGTGCGCTAGATAAGGGAATTACTCAACGATCAGAGCCTAACAAGGCAGAGTTCATATTGAAGAGCGGAAACGCATGCACGATTGCTAAACGTAAGCTGTTTAAAATGATTTTTAAAATAGATAAAAATTTATTGGAGAGAGATACAGTGTGTTAATTAATTATTGTACCCGACGTCATCATTGCAAGCATGCAACCAATATCACAGCGCAATACGCATCATACGCAAATCGCGTATTGCAATACCAATACCGTGATGTTGGTTGCATACTTGCAATGATGACGTCGAGTACGATAATTAATTAACACACTGTAGTTGCTTATTGGCAAAGGAAGAACATAATTTAAACTGGTGGCACATCAGACCTTCAGACAAATTAAAAAGGTTTTAGAGCAGAACAATATTGTCGTAAAAGAAACCTCAAAGTTTTGCAGTTCATGTGTGCAGGGAAAGCAACATAGAGAAACTTTTAAAATGAGCTTATCGAGATCAGACAAGATAGGTGAAATTATTCATATGTATTTGTGTGGTCCGATGGAGGAGTTATCGCTTCGTGGTTCAAAATATATGTTTCTCTTAAAGGATGGTTGTTCTAATTATAAGACTGTTTATTTCTTAAAAAGTAAAGATGAGGTGTGTAAAAAATTGAAAGAGTTCATAATTGAATTAAAAAACCAAATTGGAAGGGACATAAAAATCGTTAGAAGTGATAACGGAAAAGAATTTGTAAATGTTTCAGTAAAGAATCTATCAAAAAAATATGGAATCATGCATCAGCTCACTGTACCTTATACCCGTCAACAAAATGGAAGGGGAGAAAGAGAGTTTTGAACAATTATGGAAGCAACGATGTTGGCTGAGAAAAAATTTTGGGCTGAGGCAGCGAACATGGCTGTATATTTGATAAATAGAACTGGAACGAGTCCAGTAAAAAATAAAACACCTTATCAAGTGTGGAATAATAGTGATTTTGACCTACAATCCCTACGCACAGAACACAAAAAGGTTATAGAGGAGTATATTTGATTGATAAAGAAACTGTGACAATAGAAAGAGAGATAATTTTTGTGTCAGAAAGTGAAGAAAGCACTGTGAACAAGGAGACAGAAGAAATTGTAAGATTAGATTTTGAAGAACCGAAAAAATTGTGAAATAGTGGACAGTAAATGGGTGTTTAAACTTAAACGAGATAAAACGGTGACATTAATCAATTTATCCATTAAGTGCTGGTTGGTGGCAAAAGGTTATCAACAACTGGGCTTACAAGAAGATCTCTACGCTCCAGTAGTAAAATTAAAGACAATCACAACATTATTAGCTATTTATACGACTAATAACTGGTTAATATATCAAATGGATGTTTGTAATGCATTTTTGCAAATGGACTTTGAAACTCAGGGATCTGAAGGCAACAACAAGGCAGAAGAGGAAGAAATTCTTGAAGAAAATTACCCAGATAAGTCAGAAAATTGTAATAAAAATATAGAAGAAACAAATTCGACACGTCCAAAACGACAACAAAAACTACCAAGTCGATACAATGACTATCAGGTAACAATTCCAAGAAAGGAAGAATCCTTACAAGATTACGCTTACTTTGCCTATCTTGCTCCAGGAACGTATGAAGAAGCGATAGATTCTGAAGATAATGTCATGTGGAAGAAAGCGATGGATGAAGAATCATGAAGAAAATGGTACATGGCTGATGGAAGAATTACCAAAAGGAAGGAAAGTTCTACGAAATTGCTGAGTATATCGAATGAAATTAAAACCAGATAGATCAATAGAGAGCTAGTCTTGTAGTAAAAGGGGGCGCGCAGAAAAAAGGAATAGATTACGACGAGCTATTTTCTCCAGTAGCTCGTTATAATACAGAACGTGTATTGTTAAGGATAGCAGCTACGCAATGTTTGAAACTTTATCAATTTAATGTGAAAACCGCTTTTCTTTATGGTGAAATTAAAGAAGAACTATATATGGAACAGCCAGAAGGATTTAATGATGGAACTAATCGAGTATGCCGAATTCAAAAATCTATTTATGGCTTGAAGCAAGCACCAAAGTGCTGTAACAACAAATTCAAACAATTTATACTGAAGCAGGGGTTTCAAGAAAGCGTTGCAGATCCATGTTTGTTTATAAGAACTAGAAATTGTTCTTAATAATCTGTGTGGATGATGGATAGATAGCAGGGAATGATCAAGAAGAGATAACTGGATTAATCCATCAACTAAAGCAGGAATTCAAGATTACAGAAGGTGAACTGAATTCATTTCTCGGTATACAAATTCAACAGGCTGATAACAACATTTTTATGTCAGCCAACATATACCAGAAAAATACTAGAGCGATTTGGAATAGAACATTCAAAGTCAGTTGGAGTTCCTACAATGACAATTGAAAAGGATGAAGAATGTATAAATGATAGGATTCCTTATCGTGAAGCTGTGGGTTGTTTACAATATTTGGCTACAGCTACACGACCAGTTATTGCCTTTGCTGTGGGTGTCATTGCAAGAGCAATATCAAAACCATCCTAAGCTGATTGGCAACGAGTTCAACGAATTTTTAGATACTTAAACGGAACAAGAAATGTTGAAATCATGTATCAATCAGATAATCCTGGATCTTTTATGACGTACAGTGACGCAGATCATGGAGGAGACTGGGAAACAGCAAAATCAACAACTGAATTAGTGAGCACATATGCAGAAGGAGCAATTGTATGGGCAAGTCGTCAACAGAACGTGGTCGCTTTATCATCTACCGAGGTCGAATACGTGGCAGCTACTGAAGGTGTAAAGGACATTTTGTGGTTGACAAAATTATTTAATGAACTGATTGGTTTTAATGAATGTCTGAAATTTCTTTGTGATAACCAATGTACCATTGCATTAGTGAAAAAAGTAAACGTACCAAACATATAAACATTCCTTACCATGTTGTGAGAAACGCGTATGAAAATAAACAGTTGTGTGTTCAATATATACACACTAACAAGGGAAGTGTCACAACTGTGTCTCACCGATTTCGATGCAATTTGGTACAGTCATAGAA